CAACTCACTCCCCTGCCCTTACTCAACAACCTCTGAAGCCCCCACATGGCAATTCCCTGCTTTGTGGAGAGCAGGCAGAACTGCCCCATAGCCAGACATTGAATGAAGACGTCAGTGCTGAGATCTCCCAGCATCCTGTTGGGGTCTGTCTATGGGGGTATACCTGAGGCTTTTGCAGTTCTGCTCACTTCCCATAAAGCAGGGCATGGCCATGAAAGGTGCTTCAGAGGCTGTTCAGTAAGTCAGGAGGGGGTATATGGCTCAATCTAGTGTGGCTCTGCACAGTGGTATCACTAGAGTTGGCATTGCTAAGGTTGGTGTCACTCAATGTGGTAACTCATGGTGTCACACACACACACCATTGACCTTCATCCATACTATACCATACAGAATCCTTAATAATGTTTTTTTGTACTAATGTTACTCATAAATCATAATTCCTGTATATCAGTGAATGTAATGGCAATAGTTGTGACATAAAGAATTAGCAAACTTAAAATTATACAGGTAGAAATCAAAGATATAGCCATATTAGTCTGTAGAATCAGTATGTCAAGAGATCTTGTAACACCTTTGAGACTAAGGACCGATGCAGACCGGTACTTTAGGCTGGCCTGGGGGTGGAGTTGGGGTGGGGTGACCTGGTCCAAATCATCAGGGAGTAATATTGGATTAATTATCACAAACTCTTGTTGTTTTTCTGCCACTGTGAATTTCAAGGTGCCTCTTTCAATAAACATGGGAGTGCCTCAGCTAAGGGGATGTAGGAGACCAAAAGAAAATTATTTTACCCAAAGAAACTGTTGCCTTAAGGGAAACTTCTCTCTGTGCTGAAAACCTGGTTCCCTTAAACAATGGCCCTTTATCCTTTCTGTACAAAGTCCTTCATAAGCCTTTCAGTGTCTCCTGTTGCGGTGAAGCAGCTGATCACTTGACCTGCCCAGCACTTTTGTATTGGAATTGCTTGCAGTTACTGCGCAGAAAATCACTCTGCGCTTGCTATGGCCTTTTCTCTCGGCCTCAATTGCTTGGCAGCTGCACAGCAGAAGGAGGGTGGGGAGGCCCTAATGAGGCACTTTGCTCTATTAATTGGTCAGGATGTGGTTTGAGAACAGGTGTTTTTTCTTGGCTTCTCAGAAAATTTGGTGTGAGAGTAAATTGCAACGGGAAAATAAATCACTTGTGCTGCTGCTTACGGTTGTCTGCAAGTTACTCAGTGTCTAGAAAATGCAGACCACTTCCTTTCCCCAGGAATTCAGCTATGAGAGCGTAGTGGCATGGTGTAGTGGTTTGAATGTTGGACTGTGACTCTGGAGCCCAGGGTTCAGATCCTAGCTTGGCCACTGGGTGGCCTTGGCCAAGTCACACTCTCTACACCTTAGTGGATGGCAATGGCAAACTTGCTTTGAAGAAATTTGTCAAGAAGACCCCATGATGAGGGAGGGATGTCAGTATAAGTTGGAAATGACTTAGAAATCACACAACAACAACAGCAACAATCACAGCTGCACAGTCATTCCCCTTCCCTTAGACACCCAGGCTTGCTTGGAGGCCCAGCTCTTGCCCCACATGCTCAAAGGGCCATCCTGTCTTCCTCAAGGATGCTGTCATGAGGCTTCAGAACTAGTGCCTGGGAGGATCAAGGCTTGCTTTCTGTGGACAGGTAATGGGTTTTGTGCTGGTACATATTTTCAGCTGGCAGTAATATTGTCCGGTTCATTTTGTGAATGAACTCTGGAGACCAATGCCTTCTGCTTTAGATAGGAGTAATAATTATGATACGTGATGAACAGCTAGTGATGGTGATATAAAATGAATGTTCTTGACAGCCCTCCCTGCTCCCAAAGGCCAAAGCCATGACTGCAAGGGCAGTCCACAAATGCGGGCAGCTGCATGGATGTGTAGGGTGTGTGTGTGTCCAGGCTTCCTACAGAAAAAAATAGGTAATAACAATATAGTTACTGACAATGTGGGATTTCTGGTTGGTGGGGGCAGTGAGGGCATGGCGAATTGCTATTCCAGGCACAACCAAGTGACATTTCAAAAGCAAAGCAACAAGTAGGAATAATGTTACTTTATTGGTGCAATGAGTTACAGTTCTAGTTACTTTTTAAAAGTTTTTTAAAAGGGCAAGGTAGGTATTCTTAGAGCCATTTTGGCAGGAATTTTATATATTCCTTAGGGCTGCCATACATTGGAAATGACTTGAAGGCACACAACAACAACAACAGCAACAGCAGCATTCTCTTATCAATTCTAACTCTCCTTCCCATTTCAAGTGCAATGACATCACTTAGGCTGCAATGCAGCTGCCTGAGAGTTGAATTCAGTGGGACTTCCAGTGGGACTGGATGGCCCTATGTCAGGGGTGCTTTGATTGTGTATTCCTGCATGGCCAGAGGATGGCGTGGATGGCCCTTGTGGTCTCTCCCAACTCTATGATTCTATAAGTCTATCTAGAATTCTATCTGAGTAAGCATGCACACATGATCCAGTATGTGGCTAACATTCTATTGGTCTCACTTGTGAGCTCCATTTCATACAAGATTGTCACAGAGCTTACTGAGATAATGTAAGTAAATTACCATACAAATGGTAATGATGATGATGATGATCGGAAAGCTGGTGGCATTTATTTCTACTCAGGTTGCATTCCCAGTAGGATTTTGTTTAGGCACATTAAACAATTTCAGTGAGATGCCGTAGGATGATAAAAGGCATATATGATGGCATGTTTTCTAGACCACAAGGAGCCAAAATTACAGTTTAAAAATCACTTGACATAGGGAGGCCTTTGGTTGCTGTGAAATAGAGCTCATTCAGAGTGTTTGCTTACTCCCATGCTGTAAATACATTGTTTGTTTAATGTAAAGCAAGCATGCCCATTTTCTTTCATAAAATATTGCTAGGCAACCATGTACTCTGGTGATCCTTATATCATGATAAGACTATGCATTGGTGACATGGAAGGGAAGATGGCCCTCTTGCTTCTGTGCTAGGCATACTGAGGAAAAATTACATTTTGGGCTGCAGAATACACCAGCCAGTATGGCCATAGGCATAATTACACAATTATAGCCATTTGATATCCTTTTAACTGCCAAGGCTGTGTTCAAAAGAATCCTGAGGTTTGTAGTTTAGTGAGACAATTAGAATCCTCTCATGTAATTCAAGCAATGGCACTGCCTTGCTCTAGCAAACTACAGATCCCAGGATTCTGTACTATGGAGACATAGCCATTAATGTAGCATCAAACTGCTGTTACTGTGCCATGTAGGAACTGGCAGTGACAGGGGAGGGGAAAGTGTGGCTTTCCAGATGTTATTGTATTGCAGTTCCCATTAGCTCTTGCAAGCCTGGCCAATGTTGAGGGGTGATAGGGATTAAGTGTTCATTAAAACTGGGTCTCCATCCACACTGCAGAAATAATCCAGGTTGCCATTATTTTAACTGCCATGGCACAATGCTATGGAATTCTGGGATTTGTAGTTTGTTGTGACACCGAAACTTTCTGGCAGAAAAAGCTTAATATCTCACAAAATTATAAATCCCAGAATTCATATCATTGACCCATGGCAGTTAAAGTGGTGTTAAATTGGATTATTTCTGCAGTAGGGATGTAGCCTGGGAAGTCCTCTAGTTCCCCAGGTTTATTGAAGGAAAGGATGTGAATTGGGCTCAAAGAGAGAGGCAGGTGAATGTAAATGTAGACAATTGTAACTGTTAGGTGGATTAGTAACTGGTTGACTGACCGAACCCAAAGGCT